CCTAGAATAAAAGTGATTCACTTTCTAGAGATGTATAGAAGCCCAAAAGGAGGGGAAAAAAAACTTGAAGTTGTTCCACATTTAATATTTACTAACATACTAAAGGTTTACTAAAGGTTAGTTTTATGAAACTTTAGGATGGAGTAAGGCTAAAACACCTAACAAAAATATAATGTCTGTTTTTTTTTTTGAAGAATGAACCAGAACACAATGAATAAAAGACTGTATCCCAAACTCTCAACCTTTCAACCAATTTTACAGACGCACAATTTACAACATAGATGTTCACAGAACCAAGACAATATGTATCAGCATATTGTCCTGGTTCCAGGTCCTCTAACTTGTTCAGAGGACCTGGATGGAGTCTCAACAGCAGTGATTCTCTTTAGGTAACTAGTCCATCATGCCCCTATAACTCAACAGTCAATTGCAATGTACAGTTTGCAGTTGAAACCAAAAACTTGCATGCACCAAATTAAAAGAACCTGTCGTTTTTGACACAATAGGAATGTCAAAAGAAATCAGTCAAGATATCAAGAAGAGAATTGTAAAGCTACATTTGTCTGGCTCACCCTTGGAAGCAATTCCCAGATTATCGAAGGTGGTGCGTTCATCTTTTCAAACAATTATATGCAAGTGTAGACAAGATGGGAATCGACCCCTGGATAAAAGCTAAAGACCTTGTGAAGACGAGGTCTGAAGCTGGTAAGACAGTGTCATCATTCACATTGAAATGTGTGCTGTAATGACATGGCCATTACTCCAAAAGAAATATAAAAAAGTCAGATTACACTTTGTAAATGCACAAAAGGACAAAGACCTTCATTTTTGGAAGCATGTCCTGCGGTCTAATCAATCAATCAAGTTTATTTGTGTAGCAACAAAGCAGTTCAAAGTGCTTTACATCATAAAAACACGGAAATTAATTATTGAAACATTACATCTTTCCAAGTGCCGTCATTACACATCAAAATGTTGGCCTTTTGTTTCATTTATTATTACACAAAAGCAACTCTAAACAGGTGGGATTTTAGTCCATATTTAAAGGAAGTCCGTGTTTCTACTGTTTAACAATTTTCCAGAAGTTTTTTTTTTTTCCCCCCCAGATTTGTGGTGCGTAGAAGCTGAAAATATTGAACCTTGGGGTACCTGTCACATGAATTCTGTCCGCTTCAATTAGAAGTTACCTACCAAAACAAAGAAATCCCTGTTCTTTATGTAAGATCTGAACCCGGAGACACCTACCCAACTCTCCAGTTGTTTCAGTAATATGTCAGTGTCAGCAGTATCAAATGCTGGACTGAGATCCAACAGAACCGGCACTGTGGTTCTTCCACAGTCTCTATTTATGTGGATGTCAATGAACACTTTGACAAGAGCAGTGTTGATACTGTGGTGAGCATGGAAACCAGCCTGGAAGACATCAAAGTATATTGACGCTAAAGTGTCAATATACTTTGACACTTTAATTTTAATTTTTTAAAATTAAAATTAAAGTGTTTCGGCCATTGAGGGCCATCGTTACATTTGGAGGGAAATGTAACAGTGGAGATGGTAGCATCAAGTTGTGCAGCTGTTTGTTGCAGGAGGAACTGGCAAGCTTCATGAAATAGATGGCATCACAAGGAAAGAACTTTATGTAGAAATATGAAGCAACTTCTAAAGATGAATGAGAAATTTATATGATATGGATTTTTAGTAAGCACATTTGCAAGTGTGGTGTTGTGTTAGTGCCTCTAAGGAATGTTTCCTATAACTTGTGGAATTTCTATAATTAATAATTGAGCAAACTAGCAAACTGCAACACAGTGGCTGCTGAGTGTATATTACCTCGTGTTTTAATTGCATTGCAATCTGCCAAAACTCAACGTGAGGGCAGTGTTGAATTAGCTAACTCAAAGGCATATCTCACATTTATTTTGGACAGCCAACCCTAAAATGCCCCTCTGTTTCCTGAGAAGGTCCTTTCAACCTTCTTGGTTGATAAGAAGATTTGTTAGATAGGTTCACAGTCTTTTATTGTTTGACCTGCCCCTCATTTTTTGTAGGATATTCTGCACTTACCGTTTTTATCCGTGGACATTGTGTTTTATCAGATTTGGTAAAGAATAGCTTTCTTGATCCCTCCTGTGTCAAGTCATTTTGCCTATTACACTGCTGGTTATCCCTACAGCAGCACGGCTACTTTTAAAAGACACACGTAGTTGAAATGGCCTTGCTGGAGTCACATAATTATAACTTCACTGAGGGTTTATATCTAATCAGCTACAAGGCTTGAAAGCACCTTTGTGCTGAGCTGTACCTTGAAAAGGATACAGGTACTCCTCTCCAAAGATCACAGCCAAAGTTAGAAAAAGAGCTCAAAAGTGAACCGAGGTTATTTAAAAATAAAACAACTCTTAATGGAATTCTACAACATTCAGATTCTGTTTTCGGGGACAAACTGAATGCGGATCAGAAACAATTAATTATGTAATGATGATTTGAGAAATCACAAATTGTCATATAGTATCTTGCATTATATTATATTATTGCATTATATTATAGTATCTTATCAACCCCCCCCCCCGTGTTAAAATTGTTTACGTTTTGATATAATGCAAAGACAAATTCACATATATTTTTTTAATATATTTCAAAATATTCTGATAGACCAACACAATTCCAATCTAAAATAAATGTATTGCATTTCTTTGTGTGCCATGTTTGATAAGTGTGGCATGCATGTTTGGTAAGCAATTTGTAGAGCCACCTTTTACTTGGATTGCAGCTGTTAGATCTCTGGGCTTCAGTATGTGTCTGCCAGCTTTGCAGTAACTGAAACACATGCCCTTTCGTTTTTGGAAAACCGCTCAGTCTTACTCAGATTGGATGGAAAACATCTGAAAACCATTATCTCAAGCCTTACTACACATTCCTGATTTTGTTCAGGTCTAGGCTTTGATTGGACCATTCGAGAGCTGCACCTTGACCCCAGTTTTAATGCCTCTAACAGGATACTGTGGCAATTGTGCTGCCAAAGAAACTTCAAACCCACTGAAGTTCAGATTGTCTTTATTGAAGAAGTCATGTATCTTTTTTGTTCATCTTCTCTGTTATGAATTGTTTTGTGTTTGTCTACAACATGAAATGTTGGTTTGTCTTTGAAATGTAACTGAACACTACTTATTGGGTATGAATACTTTTGCACTGTGAGGTATATAACACTGAATTCAACCATCATCCATGGGCTATAGCGACTAAATAATTCTGCTGTTACACCTGTGGCCCACACCTGCGTGAGGAGATGCAAGTTCCTCCCAGAAAATAATTCAAACTCAAGATCTTCTTGCTGAGAGGCCACAATGTTCTACTGTAATATTACACTTTATTCCTGTTTTCTCCAGATAGACATAAATATTGATATTGTTTTTATTAATTGTAACTAATTTTTGCATTAATTGGGATCAGGCAGTTAAAACTTCTTGTATATCCTAATTATTAAAGTTCTAACAATCAGCACCTTTTCTGTGTTGTTGTTATTATTATTATTATTATTATTTTACCTTATATAATGCTTAGTTTTATGTTGCTGCGGAGAACCCTTTTCCTCCCCAGGACTTTTTTCTTTTTTTTGTTCTCAGAAAAAGCGGACTAACGCCAGGGGGCGACGTTGATCTCTGTAACACTCTGACCGGGACAACGATGGAGCGCGCAAAAAAGGGGGGCGGGGGGGAAACGAGAACGCGCACCAGAGCGGGGAGAGAGAGAGAGAGAGAGAGAGAGAGAGAGAGAGTAGAAGAGAGAGAGAGGGGGAAGCTCTGAGATCCGACTCCGGTGTCAGCTCGATTCAGTCACACAGCTCCGGCTCAGACATGGGTGGAAATTCATCTAACGTGTCCTCTTTGTTTCTTCTGACTTGTATGGCAAGATGCAGAATCGCTGTTTAATCCACTACACAATGGACACGTCGTTTTGCATTATGGCCGATATAGTGGTGCTCACGTCTATTACATTAGGAATTTGAGACTTATGCTAATTAGACTCAATTATGCCTTTGTTTTTTGTCTTTTAGTCACCATCATCATCATCATCATCACCCAAACTGTTTGCAACTAGTTAGACCCCCTCTATCCCATTAGCATATTTAATTTATTCTTTATGAATTAAATTAGCGGTTGATGCAACTGAGCTATCCTAGGATGTGACGCCGAGGGGTGGGGGGCTAATGATAAGAATGGGGACAAACGGGGGGAACTAATAGGCTGCAGGGTATTAGTAACACGGTAGGGCTGAAACATAAACGACCCATTACACTGAATTAAAACTACTGACATGATCCTGCAGTGATAACATCTTGAGATTTGACTTTAGAGTATTTCATTCATGCTCTGCATAAGGGGCCAAATGGACACTCCTCTAAAAAGAGTGGGAAAGAGAGAAGGATGGCCACGCTGCACAGTGGGGTATTGCGTCACGGACCGTCTTTACTTGCGCAGGCATTTTTACATGTTTGGCTGTGCATGGGGATTCTTACTGCGCTCTGACTCATGTGTTGGTATCAAAGCAGCACTTTGATATCAAACAGCGGGATGATTCGTCAAGGGCAAACTCTATCTGTATCCGGTCTGACAAACTGAGAACTCTTTGTATAATAGGAAGAGAGAGAGACAGGGAGAGAGAAAAAAACATCCTTCTGACACCTAAAATCGTTTTAAATATATACATTTTACTGTTTTGGTAATAAACTCTGATATCCAACTTGACTAATTTACAGGGTGCGAAACACTTTTTTGATTCCCCTGCCACAACCGGGACTGCGCCTGGCGATGAGAGTGGAAGAGAGGAGAGGAAAAGAGAGGAAAGAGGAGCGCAGCGGCTCTTTAACTGGTTTTGTTATGATGGCCCGGCGCGCGCTCTAGCTGGCATCGCGGAGCCCCAATCAGGTGCCATTACACCCGATGTTTGAAGAATACCATTGGCTGCTGGGGAAAGGAGCTGTGCGCAAAACCAGCCCCGCCGCTCACACTCGGCTTCCAGAAGCAGAGATGAGAGCATCATCCGCTTTGAGCGCTAAGGCGCAGTGATTAAATCCTCACAGAGAAAGTCTCATTGTTCGTGCATCTTAAAAAAAAAAAAAAAAAAAACGAAAAAAAAAGATCTAACCGCTTTATTTATTTACTTCTCTTTTTTGACAATGTTTTTCAGCACAAGGATTTTAAAAGTTTTTTTATGTTCTTTTTTCCTGACTTTTTAGTGAAGTGGGGAGTTCGTTCTGCGCACAAGGAATGTTGGCTCAAGCTTGCGACTGTGTGCGCTGATACCAAAAACTCATAGACCGGGTGCAGAATTGATTAAAACTAAGAAGCTCGGATCAAATGGCTGCACTTCTCAAAGCAGAAACGACTAAATGTTCCACTGACCCGAGGCAGAGGAGGGGATTTTTAGACTCGGACAGCCTTGTTGCAGCTTGTTTTGCTGTTTTTTTTCTGCCAGGGAAGATTGGAAATGCACATATCTTGTAGGAAAAAGGAATAACACTTTTTTTTCTTTTTTTTTCTGCATTGATATTCACTTGGAGAGGGAGAGGGGAGATGATTTGGTTAATACTTCTGCTCTCCATTCTGAATGGAGCTCTATGTCAGCTGCACTACTCCGTGCCAGAAGAGCAAGAGCCTGGCACCGTAGTTGGGAATATCGCAGAAGATCTAGGCTTGGACATTACCAAACTTTCCGCTCGCCGGTTCCAGACGGTGCCAAGTTCGCGGACACCTTATCTGGAGGTGAACTTGGAGAACGGCGCTCTGGTTGTGAAGGAGAAAATAGACAGGGAAGAAATCTGCAAGCAGACCATCCCGTGCCTGCTGCACCTGGAGGTGTTTTTGGAGAATCCGCTGGAGCTGTTCCGCGTGGAGATCGAGGTGATGGACGTCAACGACAATCCGCCCAGCTTTCCGGAGCCGGACATTTTCGTGGAAATATCTGAGAGCGCCATACCCGGGACTCGTTTCCCCGTGGAGAACGCCTTCGACCCCGACGTTGGCACCAACGCGCTCAGCACGTATGCTATAACCAACAATAACTATTTCTCCCTCGACGTGCAGACGCAGAGCGACGGGACCAAATTCGCGGAGTTGGTGCTGGAGAAGCCGCTGGACAGAGAGCAGCAGGCGGTCCATCGCTATGTGCTGACGGCTGTGGACGGGGGCGTCCCGCAGCGGACCGGAACGGCTCTGTTGGTAGTTAAAGTTCTGGACTCTAATGACAACGCTCCCACGTTCGACGAGTCCGTGTACACGGTTAACCTGCGGGAAAACTCACCCGTGGGGACCCTAGTCATCCAGCTAAACGCCACGGATGTGGACGAGGGACTAAACGGAGAAATCATTTATTCCTTTAGCAGCCACAACACCCCGCGGATAAAAGACTTGTTCAACATCGACGAAAGAACGGGCAGGATAGAAGTGGCCGGCGAGGTGGACTACGAAGAGAGCAACACGCACCAGATCAACGTCCAGGCGAGAGATCTGGGGGCTAACGCCGTCCCTGCGCACTGCAAAGTGCTGGTCAAACTTGTGGACGTGAATGACAACACACCGGAGATCAGCTTCAGCACCGTAACTGAGTCTGTGAGCGAGCAGCACGCCCCGGGCACCGTTATTGCCCTCTTCAGCGTTTCGGACCGAGACTCCGGTGAGAACGGTCAGATGAGCTGCGAGATCATGGGCGACGTCCCCTTCAAGTTGAAGTCGTCGTTTAAAAATTACTACACCATCGTAACGGACGGCTCGCTTGACAGGGAGAACACAGACTCGTACACCATCACAGTCGTGGCCACCGACAAAGGTCAGCCCTCGCTGGCCACCAGCAAATCAATTAAGGTGCACGTCTCTGACGAGAACGACAACGCGCCCCGCTTTACGCAGGCTGTTTATGACGTCTATGTGACTGAGAACAATGTGCCTGGCGCTTTCATTCACGCAGTGACCGCCTTGGACCCTGATATAGGACAGAATTCTTTAATTACCTACTCCATATTGGAGTGTGACATCCAGGGAATGTCTGTTGACACGTATGTCTCCATAAACCAAGACACCGGCTACCTTTACGCGCTGCGCTCTTTCGATTATGAGCAGCTGAAAGAGTTCAGCTTCATGGTCCAGGCTAAGGACTCAGGTGCTGTCGAGTTGTTCTCCAATGCCACCGTTAACGTGATCATAGTCGACCAAAATGACAACGCTCCTAGCGTCATAGCCCCTATAGGTAAAAACGGCACGGCTAAAGAGCACTTGCCGCGTTCCGCGGAGCCTGGATACCTGGTGACGCGCATCGTGGCCATGGACGCAGATGACGGCGAAAACGCACGGCTGTCCTACAGCATCCTGCGGGGCAATGAGATGGGAATGTTTCGCATGGACTGGAGGACCGGGGAGCTGAGAACGGCGCGCAGGATCTCCCCCAAGCGGGACCCACAGGGCTTTTACGACCTGCTGATAGAGGTGAGGGACCACGGGCAGCCTCCTCTCTCCTCTTCCGCCAGTGTGAGCGTAATGCTAGTGGACAGCGTAGTGGAGGGCCGCAGTGGGGACCGCGGCTCGGCCTCCAAGGCTAAAGAGACTTCTCTTGATCTCACCCTGATTCTCATCATCGCTCTGGGCTCCGTGTCCTTTATATTCCTCCTGGCCATGATAGTGCTGGCCGTGCGCTGTCAAAAGGACAAGAAGCTCAATCTGTACACGTGCCTGTTGGCCGGCGACTGCTGCCTGTGCTGTGGCTCCTGCTGCAGCAGGCAGAGCCGCGGCAGGAAGCAGAAGAAGCTGAGTAAATCCGACATCATGCTGGTTCAGAGCACCAACGTGACCACGGGAGTTGGGCCCGTCGGGCAGGTGCCAGTGGAGGAGTCTGGGGTGGGGAGCGTGGGAGGCGGGTTTGGCTCCCACCACCACCAAAACCAGAACTCCTATTGCTACCAGGTGTGCCTGACACCGGAGTCTGCCAAGACGGATCTGATGTTCCTTAAGCCGTGCAGCCCCTCCCGCAGCAACGACGCTGATCACACCAATCCCTGCGGGGCAATAGTGACCGGCTACAGTGATCAGCAACCGGACATTATATCTAACGGCAGCATTCTCTCCAGTGAGGTAAGAGAGCAGACACTGTGACCTCAGAATCAACCTAACGCCCATGCGTAAAATGTATTTAAAGTGTGGAAAACAGCATTTTTCACGGGCTGACCTTCCCAACTGCGTTTGCTTTCGGTTAAAGTGCGTTATCAATTCAGATCACGCAAAGTAAAAGTCTTTTGAAAAAGGGTTCTCCATTTGACTTGGCTACTGTGCTCAGTGGCCTTTAATCATTGTTATGCATAATGGTGATTGGACATGTCAGTTGTTAAATCTCAAGTGGTATTTTATAATCCAATAGACTTATGTAGTATCAGGTTTTATACACCGCTCCAAAGACTAGAATTTTAACTCATGACAACAACACATATAGAATAGACTGTTTTATTTTTTATTTTTTTTATGATCATTTTCATTTAGACATGGTTTTTCATTTTTTATCCTAAGTACAATCAAACAACGCATGGTAAGTTAGTTATTTTGTGCAGCATTACAACAATTAGCCGGAACAATGCAACAGGAAGGCATTGCTGGGGGAATCCAGTTTGATGCAGGGGCGTATCCAGAAAGGCCAGGCCGGACGGGGACCACAAATAATCGGGTGGGCACATTGAAAATCAGAACCCATAACTGTGTGAGTTTTGTTTTGGTATTTTGCTATGCAACTACTATGATAAGTTTCGGGTGATTTGTTATGCAAATTCAGACACTTATATAAGCTTGTAATTTCTTACCTAACATTGATTTATAAAAGTTGTTATGCATATCAGGCTTTATGACCCCCAAGAGTGGCACCACTTGTGCATTTTGCTCATGGATCTGCAGAGAGAGTTGGTGGGTTTTTTTTTTTTTGATTGCTTGGCTTGAGTTGAGCCAGACCAGCCAGTCACATCCCCTAGTCCTCTGTGTGTTAAGTATTCCGCGCACGGCACAGCACGCCAGCACCGTGAACAAAGGTTGTTCAGTTTCAGCATCAGGCGTCTCAATCATTTACGCCTCCCTAATCTACTCCCCCCACCACAACCCTTGCTCTCATCTCCTCTTGCCGACTCTCACCAAGTGAATGCACACATAATCAGTAACCCACGTCTGGTGGAGAAGCTCCACCAGAGCTTCTCCTGACTCAGTCTCACATTCTATCTTTATAGTCTTAATCTGTGATTATGCATTTGAATCATCTGCCTGTTTGCATCGGTTGTGATCACATCTGTGTTTCTGTTGGCTTTCCAGACAAAACATCAACGAGCAGAACTCAGCTATCTGGTGGACAGACCCAGGCGTGTCAACAGGTAGTGGGAAAACACATGATGTGATGCATGCATACACATTCATCCCATTTCACGTTGGCCTAGTCACCGCCACCACGATGTCTTGTGATCCATTATCACAAGACATTCAACAGGCTGTCATTGATCCACAGTCTCTTCATGACACTGAAGTCAGTATCCGATTTGAACCTCCCAAATGCAGAAGGGCTATTTCGCTACATTTTCTTGAGTCTACTCTAGTTCAAAAAAAAAAAAAAAAAAAAAAAACTACCTATGTTAGAACTGAACAATATTATAATAAGTTCACTGCATATTCTATTTGTCTTTGTTTCAGTATTTAAATAATTCATAGCAATTTTTAGAGGATTTCTGGTTTCAGAGCATCTTACATCGGACTCAGCTTAAAAACTACACTACCTAGAGCGGTCAAAGTTCAGCAACATTATTTTACATAAAGGACAGCTTTTGTAAAATACTGTTTGTGAACTGTGAACTATATTTAACTTTGTAAAAAAAAAAGAAGAAAAAGAGGGTGTTTTATCTCTTTTTTTCTGCCTGGATGCCATTTTACATGGGGTCCATCTTAAAAGCTCCACCACCCAAACACAATTATTTTCCAACCTTTCATGATTTTTGAAACCTTTATTAAGGTTGTGAAAACAGTAAAGTATTATTTTAAATCTTTGTCAAGATAATTTTTTGAATGAAGTGATACTTAATAAGCTGCAAATGGGATGCTAACTTGTTTGGCGTAGTCTCTTCCTAAATCTATAAAATGAACCAGAGCATAAGTAAACAAAGGAGCTGCTTAGGGCCTCCAAAGGCTTCAGGGGACACCCAGGAGTACCAGAGGACGCACACACGCATGCACACACGCATGCACACACGCATGCACACACGCATGCACACACGCATGCACACACGCATGCACACACGCACAACATATACATATGTAATTTGTAAATCTGCAGTCTTTTTACAATATTTTATTTTATTGTTGAAAAGGTTAATGTCTTCAAAGTGACACAATTGTTTTTATGCTCCACCTTTTTATGTAGAACAGTAATCCAACTAGCAAAAAGGTAAAAAAAAAAAATAAATAAATAAATAAATAAAAATAGAAGCTACTATAACAGTAACTATGTCCGAGATTTAAACACGGATTACATATCTATATATAAAGAGAATATTGTTTGGATTTGGTGACTGAGGATACTTGGACGGGTCCCAAATCAGGTTCTGCCTGGGGCCCCGTACAGCCACGGACCAGCTCTAACATGAGCACTACACCCATCAGTATCCACATCGTTAATTGCGGTTTTAAGAGCCTGTACTGTTCCCAACATATCCATAACGTTCATCTTCAATTTGGCATGAGTCCCATAACTGACACAGCGGCGTCTATTAAAGCTCTAATGCTGGATTTCATTACTTGCCATGTGTAACATCCAATTTAGGCTCTTGATGGCTACCGTGACCGCATTAACGTGGTCTTGACTTCTGATTCTTCCTCTCTGTGTCTTTGCCCTCTCATTTAATTCTCCTCCACACTCTGTGTGTCTTTTGCCTCACAATCATATTCATTCTTCCTCTGTCTGTGCTCCCCCCATTCCCTCTCTGGACCTCTTTGTAGTTCTGCATTTCAAGAGGCAGACATTGTCAGTTCTAAAGACAGTGGTCACGGCGACAGTGAACAGGGCGACAGCGACCACGACGCAACAAACCGGGGTCACTCAGCCGGTGAGTTTATCCACATCTCATAATAATTACTCCGCCATTTCTGCCCTCACACACACACACAAACACACGCCTGCACACGCACACACACACACACCTCCCTGATCCGTTTCAGCATTGTGAGTTTGCAATTGTGAATAGGATAATGTGAAGTTGTTGGTGCGGATCGCTGATTTTTTCATTTCCTTAATTTGCAGGATGTGTGGGTAGGCCCTGAGCTCAGAGGTTACTGGCTGGTATGAACAGGCCCCAGATGTGTTGATTGTAACTCACAGCCTTGCAAAAAGACTGGCGAAAAGAGTATCGGTGGAAATCTCTTCCCTCTGGCCTTTGCTTCTTCAGCAGTGTGGTGCTGAAAGGACAGTGACTTGCAGTGAGGCTGTGTGGGGCCCACAGAGCTTTAGTTGCACAAATCAATAGGCTCAGTCAAGAGAAAATGAACCGCATGAAAGCTGAATTGATGTAATGAGAAGCATTTCAATCAACCCTAGAGTCAATATGTTGTACAAACGCTAAGCAACTTACCCATCCCTGCGTGCCTCCAGAGTTACCATGGCTCTTCTGGCTACTTCTCTGATTAATGCTTTTGGTGGACCACCATGTTGTTGTAGGCTTGCAATGGTATCCCCTTGCCTTTTTTTGCATCCTCTAAAAACTGCTCTAGGCAAGACATTCAGAGGTTGGGGTATTGCTTTATAGTTAATAAAGTGACCTCAGAGGAGAGCCTGTTGCAATAGATTTTACTAAGGGTCGCCGCCGTAAGAGAGAGTGATAACAAAAGCACTTTTTTTTTTTTTCACGATAATTTTTAAATATGTATCGTTTTTCTTACGAGTGTTTTATTTGACCTCAGACACCTTTCATCTAGATTCAGCTTTTCAGGAACACTTATTTATTTTACACCCTCTTCCTTTTTTTGATTTACCAGATTTGTGTATGTTCAGCGCGAGTTTAATAAAGCCAAAATGCCAGAATTAGCTTACATACCCCCACCTATGTTCCCACCCGGGGTTCATTTGCAGACCCTCATTCCTTATCTGCCCTTACAGCATGATAGATTTCTTTGCAAAGAAGGTTAGCAGATCTTATCTTAAGCCTCTCTTCGTTCTCTCTAAAACTCTATTTAGTTAGTACCTGTTTATTGATCATGCTAGAGTCAGACAAAAAAGTGGAGCAATACAAAATCTAATTTCATATTGAACTGCCCTTTCTTTGTGAGGGAATGCTCCACGTGACGCATGTAAGACCCCTGTCTAGACCACAGCTTGCCAAATATCGTAGCGGTGCGGGGAATACAAATAGAGAGGAGATCCGATAGGCGTTGTTGGGTAGTGAATGGGCCTCTCATTAGGCTGTGCAGTGTTTGACATTATTAATGAACTGAGCCTAAATAAAGAGTAGGTATGCAGCACTGGTGTCACTCCCTGCCCTCGCTTATAAAACAGGTTGGGAAGGTCAAACTATGCGCAACTGAAATGCAGCTTTGGAAGAAATCCAAGTCTCCTTTTTTTTTTTTTTTTTTTTTTTTTTTGTAGGAGCTCATTGCTTAGTGAAATAGATGTAAAGGCTGATGTTTAAAC